CATTTGGGGTGAAAGCACAAGCCCGTCTTTAGGACTGTGGGCTCAGTGACTCAGCCGGCAGTGAGAGACAGTTTAGAACGGAGATACCTTGGCGGCTACTTGGGGTATCCGTCTTTTTCCTTCATATGTTCGTGGCTGAACACTAGATGAAATTACCTTCAGGAAAGGACTGTAGTGATCATGAAATTTAAAAATATTTATGCCAGGGTAGTAGGAATAACTGATTTGTCTGTGTCATATAGCTGTGAATATAAAATTTTATTAGATAGATTTGAGTATTATTCTAACAGCTATTAAGACTGATTCAACAGCTTTTCCACTCCTGTTTTTAGCAGCCCTGTGGACCTGAGGGATGGGCCTGAATTAATCTAAATGTAGGGATAGGTTTAGATTAATTCAGTCTTGATAACTGCCCATAGCCGTGACTGGTTCAGGAACTCAGCCTTAGCCCCCAGAACATGACATACATTCCCATGGTTATAAATCCAAAAATGAGACATGAAGGAAAGGTCGCTAGAGGCTTAGGGAAAACATTTCCTCATGTTTAAGAAAGAGGCACAGGAAAATGATCTCTTTTCTTCTCGGTATTGATGTTGTGCTCAGGAACTGCTATCAGTAAAAGGATGAAATTGATACTCGCAGGAAAACAGAGCCAGAGGAGGTGCAGAGAAATGAGCCGGAACTACTGGATTGAGCCATCTCTGAACCCCAGCTCACCACTGGGCTTGTTGTATGAATCAACAAATTACCTTAAGCAAGTTGGATTTGGGGTTTCTGTTATTTGCAGCAGAAATTATCCTAATTGATGTAATTATATTATTATTATTATTATTATTATTATTATTATTATTATGACTTAGTCATTTTTTAATCCTGGAATACCCTCAGGAAGTTGTCATTCCTTTAAATTTTAAAATGAGTATTAATCTACTACTACATATTCTGCTGATATAATCTACTGATATTCTACAATATTCTATTGTCAAACTAATTATAATATAAAGATCTTCATTTTTTTGCCGTAATAAGATTTCTCAGCATCCTTACTATTGTTACTCTAGTATACTAAGAAAGCTTTGTACTTCCATGGTTTTCTTAACCCTCTCCACACTTAGTAGAATTTAACCTTTACTTAATTACGTAAGAGTATTTAACTTTTCATTTTGTGTCTATAATATACATGTTTCTGTGTGCAGCCTAACTGGCAGAGGATGGAGCCCTTGCTTGATGTGAGAGCAATTCAGAACAATATGTTAATAAACCCAATAACATAGGATTGAATTACTGTGCAAAAGTCAGGCCTTGAAGTAGGAACGGGTGTGGCTACTGGAGAGCTGAGGAAGGAAGGAGGGAGAGGACTGTGTGGGTCGAGTGGCATCCTCAGAAGGCTGCCAAGTGAGGTGGCCACGCACATGCAGAGGGGAGGAGGTGCGGGCCCACGGAGAGAAGCACAAGGCTGAAGTTAGAGAGGGGTGTATCCTCTGGGTATATCCCAGAGGGTGGGAAGGGCTGGATTGCCAGGCTGAGGAAGATGGAAGCTGGATCCACGGCTTCCTGAATAATGAGGTGACATTACCACAGGAATTGTTGAGAGTTATCCTCACAATGGCTTGCAGGGAATTAGACCAAGGAAAGAGTTTGGAATAGTGTCCTGGGAAACTGTTATAAACCACACGTGATGTGACAAGAGCTACAGGATAATAGAATCTGAATGTGTAATATCTGACGTTTATATGGAATTTCGGAGTTCTCACAGCACAATCATACAAATTATCTAATTTATCTAATTAGATCCTCCCAATGTCTTTTCCAGATGAGGATACAGAGGGTCAGAGCATTAAGCAACCTCCCAAAAATTGTTAATGACAGAACCCTAGCTACAATCTAAGTCTTTTGACTTCTAAGTCCAGTGCTTTTCAATAATAATATAAACAATATTTTCCACTTTTAGTGAAATTACAGTTGTGCTAATTTGACTGTTCCCTATAGCATTTGTCTATCAACTGGGTCCCAACAGCCACATAAACAAAAGTTAAATACCAGTTCACAACTCTTATAAACATTGAAAACCTCTGAATAGTGAAAAGATGGTTAAGTATCCAAGATAGTGGTAGAACCTCCTCAGATAACAGAAAGGCAATCCTTGTAACAAATACAAAAAACAAAACGCTAGGTCAGTAGAAAGTTTCCTAAATGTTTTTAATGAATGGGGAGTAACTGAGACTTTAAGGGAGCCTCAAAATGGCTTTGTTGAATGAAGGTGGAAAAGTTGCCTGTGACTCCCAACCCAACTGCAGGCAAAAAAAAACCTTGAAAGAACAGGAGTTACAATCTTCGTAAATCCGAATAAGGAAAGTATTCATTTGAGCAGGCATTTTGATATCCATCATCTCTTATTGAAAATGTGAATGACTATTAAATGATGGGATGTTGGACTTTAGTCTTCCAATTGAGAAAGTTAATTTTCCAGATATACAGTCAGTATTTGAAGGTCATGCATGTTTTCTTTTTTACTGTGATTAAAAAAAAAATTTTTACCATCTTAACCATTTTTAAGTGTACAGTTCAGTAGTGTTAAGTATATTCACAATGTTGTCAAACAGATTCCTGGAACTTTTTTCATCTTTTGCAGATCTGAAACTCTATACCCAGTAAACATCAACTCTCCTCTTCCCCCTCCCTCCAGTCCCCTGGTAACCACTGTCCTATTTTCCGTTTCTATGAGTTTGGAAAATTAATGAAACGGTTTAAAATGTTAGTATCAAGAAACATTTATTGAGCGCCTATTGGGCATCGTTCTTGATGCCTGGACCAAAAAGAGATAAAAGATAGTGAAAAATCTCTAGAGGGTCTTTGTTACACTGGACTTGGAGACATATAAAAAAATAAATCACAATAAAAATCAATGTATCTTGTCTTAAATGAACGATGACCACAGTAAATTCAGTGTGACGCTAACAATAATATTCATGCTGTGTTGCTAAGTTTTGTGCCCCAGACCCTGCAACACTGAGGTACCCTGGGGGAAATGTGAGCCTGGCAACCTGGGGATAATGGGTCTCAGATTGCATTTGTTACAATAGCAGTGGTTATTAGTGAGGGAAAGAATGATTGAGAAGCTGTCCTGCTGGATTAGCTTGGGTGTGACTGTTGCCTATTTCAAGATGTAAGTGCCTAAAAAGGGTCTCTGAGGGGAACATGCCTTGCAGAGAAGAAGGGGAACACCCACTCGGTTAATGCCTAGGCATTATATGAAGCTGGAGCTGGCAAGCAGCCTTTTTTGGGGTGTTGATATGTAGAAACATTGTGGTAACATAGCCATTGAAGGCTTTGCTCTGCCCCAAGTAACTGCTGTTAATGTTTAAGTCAATTTAGAGGATACATAATTGACATGTTTTTTTGAAATGTCTTGGAAACCACTTTCCGGGACTCTGTACAGAATGCAAAAGAACGGAAAAACCTAACACAAAGCTGAGTAGCCAGATGATGAGGATTTAGCAAATTGCATCGGAGTTGTGTTCACTGACCATTGCCTTCAGAAAGAGGAGCAGCTTGTTTCTGATAAATGATACAGCATGCTGATATTTGTCCAGGACTTTGTGGTTCTGTGCAGTTGAAATTGCTCAATAGATTTTGAGCTATCATAGTGAGGGGGAAATAGGTGAGAGAGGAGTTGAACTTGGAGTGCCAAAGCCCCAAATGACTTTCTCATGCTACCTGTCAGGCCCAGTTGAGTGCTTCTTAACTTTGGCTTCAGCTTAAAATTACCTAGGGAGCTTTGAAAATTACAAGTGCACAGAGCCCACTCTTGACCTATTAAGTCAGAATCTCAGAATTTGGGGAAGGGAGCAGTCCTAATTATGAGGTTGTTTTGTTTTGTTTTTAAGTTCCCCAAGTAATTCTAAAGTACAGCCAGGACTAAAAACCATTTTAGCTATTTCAGCTCTAGCCAGTAAGATGCTGGGAACTTTTATTAAAATGTACGTAAAATACTTGTTAACTGTGTAAAATAAATATACAGGTTTTTCCATCCCTGCCCTCAAATAGTGAGTGTGTGTGTGTGTGTGTGTGTGTGTGTGTGTTTTAAAAAAATGATAATGTTTTATTGCTACGAGCAGGAGTGGCCTGCATGGGGTGGCCGTTGCGCTGGGCTCAGGGGTGGTCTGGAGGCCAGCTTCCAGGGCTCTTCAGATGTACTTCTGGGTAGAGGAGTCATGACAAACTACCGCCAAGCCGCCAATAAGATTAAGAAATTCTTGGAAATCTAGCTGCCCATCATAGTTGAGGTCCAATTTCTTCATCATGCGGTCAAGGACACTGGGTCCTTCTGGCTCTTTGTGAAGGCAGCCAGGTCTGTATTCATGAGGAACTCAGTCTTGGAGAGATTGCACTTGTTACCGCCCTTTCCAGCATACTCGGAAAACAGCCATCAGGGACTGATGCACTGCTCGGTCTCTGTAGGGCTGGATGTTTTTGCCTTGTTGGATTGGAGCGAGGCGCAGAGGCTGTGAGCTGTGAGTTAGATGGGGTTTTTTTGTTAAGTTGGTTTAGTTTGTGTTTTTGCTTAGCCAGTTGCAGATCTGAAGAAACAAATGGAAGGAGGTGGAGGAAGACATTGTGAAGAGGTCCCACGGCCTTCTTTAGGGAAGGATGGGGCCTGAGGGGTAGGAAACTGTTTATATGTATTTCAGGAAGTAGAAATGTAACATGTTCTCAGTCTATTTAAATTATGTAACTTGGAGGGATGTGATCCCTTTATGTCAAAATAATGAGGCATATAATACATTGCGTTTAACATGTGTGGGAATTCTTTGCAGAGTAATTAGCATTCCTTTCTTCAGCCTGTATTCAGAGGAAACATACCATTCACACCCTCTCTTGTATTCACATTTTCCAGTGCGTTGGAGAGCTTTTTTTTTTCAATAGAGATCTTTGTTCTTTTCCTAATAAGACTTGGATTATATTTGAAGAAATTCAGCGTGTCTTTCTTTTTCTGGCAGGAATTGATTTTAAAATCAGAACGATAGAACTAGATGGAAAGAAAATTAAGCTTCAGATATGGTAAGTAACACACACACACACACACACACACACACACACACACACACACATACACAGCTTCTACCTTAATCAGGAATTGAAAGTGGGAATTGAAATGTGCATTGTGATAAGTTAGAGGTGCCCTGTGATCGCTAAAACATCTTTTCTTTATCAGAACTAAGGGGAAATGGGTATTTAAAGGTCTCTCCACAAAGAGTGGGAAGGTAAGGAATGATATCACTAACTCACAGCCAGAAAAGATCTGAGAACTCATTCTTCCAAACGCTAATTTTATAGGGGAGGAAACTAAATTCTAGCATATAAATTACGTTTTCTTTGCAGTTGTTGCAGCTGTGAAATCAGATAAAGCAAAGTAGTCTGAGGAGGAAGTGCAGATCTAGATTCTGGCTAGGGCCCTCTCAGCTGAGGATGTGGGGCCAGCTGCCTCCCTTCTTAGTGCCTGCTTTTCCTCATTTGTAAATTCATTGGATAGACTCATGATGATATCTGAGTTCCCCTCGAGCTCTGCCATTTTATAACTTATTTGCAAATTTCTTCTCATTAAATAAGAATGTGAGAAACACTGGACTGGGAAGTAAGGGAGAGAAAAGTCATGCCTGTCATCTCTCATGTTGCAATATGCAAAGCAAAGATCTCCTTATGGTCACCCACTGTGAGTGGTTAATTCCTAAAGAATTGATCAAACAGCAGTGAATAAATATGGTTCTTCTAGATTGCCAGGTTGAATAGTTTTGGCTTGAACCAGAAACTCTTCATAGATTGAACCTCCTACAAGCTAGTTTAATTTCTTTCAGTACAGGATTCTCCATGGAGACGCAGATTTGGAGCCTTGAGGAAGGTTTTTGATGACGGCTACTGATCTAATGTGGGATGATGACGGCAGTAGACAAAGCTTAAAATTTAGAGCTTCACAGACTACGCAGGGGAAATAGTAAAGTAATATATACGAACTTTTTTCTTAGGCTGTTTTTCCTCTTTGAATCTTAGAACAGGGATAGAAATAGAACATTATATTGAAATTTACTAGCCCTTCTTTTACAGAGGAGGAAACTAGCACTTACAATGGTTAAGCCCATCTGAGGGCATATGTCTGGGTTAGTGATAAAGCTCAGACAACTACCCAAATCTCCTGGAGTATCGTGTCAGCTTCATTTATTAGCCTAGCGTGGTGGTTCTCAGTATGTGTTGTTAGAAAATATTGTGAAGGTTACCATAGGCTGCCCTTTTCATTCATTGGTATTTAGTAAGAGACCAAATATTTTAAAGTTACAACAAAATTTGAAGGGTGATCAGCTAATTAGAATTTGATATAACATCACATCACTACTTACGGATACTCTCAACAGCAAAATTTACTCGCTATTTAGTCTTCACGACCCACATTTAGTAGGGTAGGGTTTTCCCTCCAGCCTTGCTGCAGAACTGATTCCAATTCAAGTATGTTGGAGTCAGAATACGGTTAGTCTGCTTCAAGGTGCTTGGCGTATATTTTCCCCATCATTTCTTTACCGTGTACCGAACAAGTGCCCAATACATGTATAAACATGTGTTGAACTCCAGGTTTTCTTTTAATCACGGGTTCCATAGCTATGTGTAGAAAAGTTCTTGAGATCCATTTTAGTGTGCTCTGCTGGGCAGAATTTACACAGTAATAAGTCTAGCCCAACTGCTTGCTTTGTACAGAAATCAGACTTTCAGTCAAGTGAGCAAAATGCCTCGATCATTAGGCATTTATAAAAGGATTATAACTGCCTCTAGGAGTCCAAGAATTCAGAACTATTCTTAGTTCTCTCCCACATGGGTTTGACTAGAACAGCATGCTGGTTCCTAGCAGGCCATGGGTTTTCCTGTTGCTGCTTTTATCATCAAGGTCCAAGTCTTTCACCCAGATCATTGTGAACTCTTGACAGGCTCCTGGGGCCACCACCGCCTCCAGCTCACAGATACACTGCAGCTCCCTTTGTAGTTCATTCCCCTTCCCCTGGAAACATTTGTGAGCAGACTGGAATTATATCTCCTACCACTTAGAGTCTCTCCTCACTAATGCTGGTAATGATTGTTAAAACCACTTTCTCCTTTGTTTCAAATTTTAGGGACACAGCAGGTCAGGAAAGATTTCGAACCATCACGACAGCATACTATAGAGGAGCCATGGTGAGTGCATTTTCGGGCTTTGTAACTCTTCAGGTGAAAGTAAAACATGAATATTCTTTTGTCAAGTTTATAGGACTCAAGCTGAAGTCTAGTACAACGGGGAAAATGATTTTTTTGATGTGAAAACGAGACATTTAAAGGGTTTCTTATGCTTTATGTTTAGTAACCATATACTTTGCCATTGGTCTTCATAATATTAATCAGGTAATTAGCTTTAGATGTTTTAGAACTCCTCACATATTCCGAGTGTGTATTTTTGTGATTTTTCCTTTTATTAATACCTTTGCTAAATCTTAGCAAACCACAAACTCTGTGACTAGGCATTTATTTCTTGCACCCTCTCATCATTTCACCCTGCCAGCATCATCCCTTACCTCTCACCAGGTCCACAGCTCCCACTTGTAGTGGCTCAGCTCTCTGGAGTCCCTTCCACCAGCATCTGCCAGCTGGCCAGGAAGTAGCCAAATGATCTGGGACTCTTTGAGGCCTAGAATCTGGTGAATCTTGACTACGAAGTCTTCCTTTGCCTACATCCTAGCCTTATCCTTGTTAGCATAGCCTCATCACTTGGCTGTTTTCCATCCTAAGATGCTTCATCTGTACAAGGCATTTATATTGCTTGTTGGCTCAGGGCAGATTCTGTGTGGTTTTGGGGGCACAGTGGTAAAGAAGGCAGCTTAAAAGCAGAGCTGTACTGAACTATGCCTAGAATGTCGGGCCCACACCAGGGCTTTATCTCTGGCTTTTAGGCCTAATCCACGCATAGTTGAAACTTTGAATTATGATGAAACCCAGTGTGCTCAGAGTCTTAGAAGGCTGAGCAATTGAGATCATGAAGCTCAACCTAGTAGACTGTGGGGTCTCAGCTACCATCATACCCAGCTCATTGCTTAAAAGGCTTGTGCTCCTGGGACCCGTGTCAGAGTGACAGAGCTGTAGGGGTGATAGCTATCCCCTTGCCCTCAGGAAGATGTGACGTGACTCCACAGATCCCTTTATTACCATACTTCCCTCCTTTCCTCTTCCACTGCTACTCACCCTCTATTATTTGAGTACTACTAATTCATCCCCACAGAAATATTGGGGATTCCTTTTCAAAGCTGAATCACCTTGGCACTGTACACCACTAAGCATTTTCTATGTATGTGTTCTCCACACTTTGCCCTATGATAACCTATAAGATTGTGAAAGGTCATCATTTTAGAAAGACAGTTGTCAGCCACTCTCTGTGTTGCTTAGACTGGGTTTGTACGAGGCCTCTAATCGAAGTGACCTGCAAACTATTCCAGATCATCCCTGTTAACATGCTCTTATTTATCCCTAAAATCCTTCCTGGGGAAACAAGTACCAAACAAACAAATTTGTTCCTTGCCTTTGATTCCAGTCCAGCCTTTCTGTAGACCAGTGTTTAGCTTCCCCGGAGTGATACATTGATACCACCTGCATGCTTGTTGTCACTTGAGAGTGGGCAGGAACACTTAGAATGTGGATGTTTCCCTTGGAATGAGGAAAGAGGCCATGGAAATGTGTTATTTAATTTGGATTTGAGGATTTTCTGTCCTCTTTATCTACTGCCTAGTCTTTCTTCACATTACTTCAAATAATAAATATTTTTTTATACTTCAAATAACAAATAATAAATAAAAAGTTGTTATTATTCTAAGTAGTAATGTCTTTCCTTTTTGAAAGCAGGGATCTTTGTGTCTGTTGTGCTGCTGTAATGCCAGCGCCTGGGACATAGTAGATGCTCAATAAATACTTGCTGAAGGGGTGAATCAGTGCAAAATTTCAGACCTGGAAACAATCTTAGATCTTGTAAGAGGAAATTCTGCTCGACTTGAGTGTTGGATGTTGCGGGCCATTTGTTCCAGTGGGATGTAAGGCCATTGTGCTCTCACTGGGACGTGTTCTCATTTCAGCAAGTGGTGGTTCTGCCAAGTTTACTTTATTTGGTTCAGGCATGCAGCATGTTGATAAGCACTGTACTGAAGTCTGCTGCCATGGTGGAGTCCTTTGGTCTACTTCAAACTACTAAGCAACATTTACAGGCATAGCAGTAACCCCGATGGACAGTCGGGCTTTTGGGGAAAAGAAGGATCACATCTTTGCATTATCAACATTTCTCATAGATGAACACTGTCTTAGACAAACTCTAAGGAAGCTGTTGTTATGTTAAGTTTATACCAGATATATAAAGTATAACTAGTATACGTGAGTTTGTATTCCCAACTGATGCATAATGCCAGTTAGCTTACATAGGAGATAGTCAAGGGGTTTGTGCTACTGAAACCAAACATTTAAATTAAAAGTGGTTGCCATTTATTGAGTCCAAGCTGTGTCCTGGGTTCTAGGCTAAGTACTTTATACATAGTATCGCAGTAGATTCTCAAAAGAATCCAGTGTGGAAAATGTGCTGTCCTCGTTTTACAAATGAGGAAACGGAGACGGAGAGGGATAAAATAACATCTCCCAGGTTAGTACGTGGTGGAACCCGGGCTGGATGCCTCTGACTCCAGAGCCTGTGCCCTTAACCACTAACCACCCAGAGTGCCTGCCACCTGAGACACACACAACAGTAAGGATCAAGGTTGTCCATGTAGCCCAAAGGGTCATGGAGCTATGACCATCTTTTGGTTAATGTTAGTATTACATATATATATATGTATATATATATATATATATATATAGTCTGTTAAACACTTTGAATCAGGAATTACTCCGATTCCATTTCAAGTTTTTTTATTGTGGTAAAATATACATAACAAAATTTATCATTTAAGTGTACAGTTCTCCACTTTGATTTTTAAAAAGTTCTTTACATTGACAATTGTAAAATCTTTTTTAGTGTAGCCAAAGTGAAACATTTGCATTTGAGTCTGGGAGGAGGGTGGATAGCAGAGAATCTTGTTTGTCACTTAAATGATAATATATATTTTTCTGGTTGTTAAAAGGTTACATGTAGTGTAAGGAATCATCGAAAATCTCAGTACCCTGAGATAGCTTCTGTTAACATTTTGTTACATTTCCTGGATTTTTTTTTGTCTGTGTGTACGTGTGTTTTATATGATTTATATTTATTTACATTTATATTTTATATTTATTTACAAAGTTGGAAACCAGACCCTGAAGGACTTTGCCTACTATGCTAAGGAATTTTCATTTAATTATGAGTACACTGGAGAGGTACTAAAGGATTTAAACACTAAAGTGATAGCTCTGGTACCCTTAAGGAGAGTGGATTAGAGGAGGTTAAGAATGAAAGCAAGCAGAGCAATTAAAGACTGACAGTGATCCAGGTAAAGGCTGATTGATGATAATATGAATAAGGCCATTCATGTTGTGGGGGAGGGAGAGAGGGATGTCAGATTCTGGAAATATTGAGGTTGTTGGGCCTACAGGACTGACTGTCTGACTGACTGTGGAGGAGATTACTCCCAGGGGTCTGCTTGGTCTGGCTGGCAGAATTGTATTGTGTTGCATCAAAACGAGACTACAAGAAGGAAGGGAAAGATTTGCAGAGGAGGACGACAACCTCGTGTTTTACTGCGTTTATTTTCAATGACCACAGCGGGCATCTGGGAACCGATGTCTAACAGGGGCCTCCCAGGCATATCTGACCTCTGTCTCTTTGGCTTCATCTTGTGCTCTTGTGCCACTGGATCTGTGCACTCTTGCCAAGCTGACTCTCTCACTCAATACAGTGGGCTCTGGGCCTTCCTAGTCAGCAAGATATTTATAACAATTCTGCTACGTGCCAGGGACTATATGGGCTTCCCCTCTTCACTCCAGCCTCAACCCTTTGCCAGTTCAGGTCTGTTTAGTCCCCGGGCCTTGGCTTTATGTCATCAGAGAAGCCTTCTCCGACCACCCCAGCCCCTCTGCCAGATTAGATTAGCATTTGTACTCAGAGCTCCCCATGCTTCTTCATAGCAATTGTCAAAATTATAATAAATTGTGTAATTATTGGTTCATTGTTTTCTTTGCTAGCCATCCATGAGAGGAAGGGCTTTGTCTATCTTGTTCGTTACTGGTAATACTTAGTATAGTATCAGGCTTATAGCAGGTGCTCACTAAATATTTGTTGAATGGCTGGACAGTTGGGTGGATCTAGCACTTAATACAGCAGTGTGGTCTGGTGATAAAGATTTTAGAATAGTTAGCATACAGGTGTCAGTTAAAACATTTAGAAGAGAAACCCTTTAGAAATGTTACAGGCTTTTCTTGCCTACGTAGTGAAGAATCAAAGGTCAGCAAGCTGATTAATATGCAAGCAGGGTTTATTAGTGATACATTCTCAGGGAGGAGAATGGGCCTAGCTGAGGTGAGGGAAAGGGAGAGGGAAGAGGGGGAGGAGAGAGAGAGGGAACGAACTAACACATATGAGCATCCTTGTCCTGAGACTTAGCCAGGTGGGGTGAGGGAGTTACTTATTGATTTGATGGGAAAAGTGGTGCATGCTCTTCTATGGGAGGGCGTGGCCTCCTAAGATGGGTGGAGTCTGTTGACTCAGATCCTTATCTTGCTCCAGACCACCTCTTGTCATCTGTTGTAGAAACTGATATGTGGCTGAAGGCAGTTAATCAAAGCTCTTCATGAGCTTTTTCTATAGGCGCTGTGGACCCCCTCCCACCCCTCCTCCTGCTCCTACATTTTCTATTATAACTTGTCCCTAACAGAAATACCAGCCGTGGGGTCTTTAAAAATATGATGGCAGTGCCTTTCATTAAACTCCTTTAACAAATGTGTTATATTTTACATGTCTGTGATTTATTTAGACAGATAATGACATTTTGATCAGCCCACATAAAATTTTAAAGCAGTATGATTACAATCTTAGTGTACGAATAAGAAGCAAGATAATTTCTACTTGGAATAAACATGTGCACAACAGAAGTGATTGCCTCTTACTCTCAATGTTATCTCTGTTTTAACCTAAACACGATTTCAGCTCCAGTTGGTGCCGATTCTTATCATGTAAGGTCAGGTAGAGAGTGTATCACCTTTACCATAATCACTAATTCATTAAAGGTTAACAGTGAAAATGTTAATGGAGTGTTTATTTACATGGTGAGACAATGGAAGAATTTATTTTTGCTTCTTTGTAATATTATTTAAAATATTCTTTTAAAATATTCTTTAAAATATTATTATGAATCCTTTAAAATATTATGAACCCTTTTTATAAAGACCAAAAAAGAAAAACCAGGACAAACCAAAGGTTCCTGGAGGGGAGGAGTACATTTACATTATATTTTATAACTTTAAATATATAAAGTACTAAATAAAGATCTTTTTTCTCCTATAGGGAATTATGCTGGTCTACGACATCACAAATGAAAAGTCCTTTGACAATATTAAAAATTGGATAAGAAACATTGAAGAGGTATATATGGAAAGAGAATGATGATACCTGCTAGATGCTTGTACTGGGCTCCTTCTGTCTCTCAAAGAGGCAGCTGAGCTGCTAAGAAGTAGGACATGGGCAGGCTAGGCCCTCGCTGAGGAGCACCTGGAGAGCAAGGTCTCCTATCTGCCAGTGTGACTGCCCTGCTGGACTTGGGCGGGTGGGTGGGGCCGGACAGGGGAGCCATTTCACAGAATTGTAAAACTTGGGCACGATCTTGGAAATAATTTAATCCAAGTTCCCATTTTATACATGAGAAAACTAAGGCGAAAGAAGTGAATTGCCTGTACTCATATAGCCTTTAAAAAGGAGAACCAAGATTAAAACATTTGATTTCCACGTTGTCTCTGTTACCACCATTTGGGTTGACTGGCAAAAATGTTTCTTTATTCAAGCAAACTGAATCAGTCATTTTGCCCTTCTAACATTTTCTGCATCTTAGATATATTTGAAATTTGGTTTAATTCCAGATTGATTGGTATAAGATTTTTTTGTTTTGTTTTTGACATTTCAGAAAGAAATCTGACTCAGATAATTTTGTACACATTTATATTAACCAACATGAATTTATTTTTTAAGTAGTTCACAATCCAGAATACCTTCCCCACTGGCTCACTCAGTACCAAGTTTTTTTCTTCTTTGACCCAAACTAATATTTGAAAGTTTTTGGATAACCATAAGTTTTATTTCTGTTTGTTCATGTACAAAACAAAGACATGAGAATGACTGAGAACCTTTGGGAAAAAGTTTGCATAGCCTCTTAGGCTGTAGCTTTTCCCCTCCTCCCATCTTTTAAATTTTTCTCTCAATCATGCTTTGTGTTGAGTGAAAGATTGTCTTATTATTAAATTCGTGAATATGTTTCTAACAGGTTAGGATTTGTCTATTGAATAGCTGTGTTTTTCCCAGGCAGTTTTTATAACATACTGTTTTCTCCCTGCAGCATGCGTCTTCAGATGTTGAAAGAATGATTCTGGGTAACAAATGTGATATGAATGACAAACGACAAGTGTCAAAAGAAAGAGGGGAGAAGGTAAATTTGAACTGAATGCATAAAGATTGGAATCTACTCACATTAAGCATTTATTTTCTTAGTGTAATTATTGATTTAAGTGTTTTAAATGTCTATATTTTAATCCTTTAACAAATAACAAAGAGATGTAATCCTTGCTTGAATAGTATGAATTAGTATTCGAGATCCAACTCTATAGACTGTGTAGTCATGACTCATTCCTAAAGAATTTGCTGGTTTCTGGGAGATACAAATTCATTCTTTTTCAGATTCCTGCAGCTTAGAGTTTAGGCCATTTTTTCCGTATCTGTGTGAAAATGCCCAGTTTTGAAGTTAAAGTAATTTATTCTCTGAAAAAAACTAATAGTTAATGTAGTTCAAAAGTAATAATTTTCCAATTCATTATTTTTTTTCTAAGAATATTGTACAACACATTAGATTTAGGTCAGTATGGATAAACTTGTAACTTGTAACTCATCGATATACGGATGTCATTTATAAGCATTTCTCTGTCTTGTGTCCTGCAAAGCAAAAAAGTTTTTATTATATGTACATATTTACTTCTGTGACATTTAAATCGACTTAGAGGTTTCAATTTTCAAGTCTTGGAATTTTGCTTTCACCTTTTTTTTTTCAGTGGTACCTGCAAAATGCATTTTGGTTTTCAATCTGACTACAAACATTTTTCCCCTAAAAACATTCTCTTAATCTTGGCGTTATAAATGAACTGGGAACTCTTTGGGAGTAGATCAAAATACCGAAGAGTTCACATTTGTCAGAATCAATAGAAACCAAAGCAATCAATATTTAGTAGGTTAAGCTTTTGTTCTATTAAGCACCAATTTATTAAAAAATAATGAAAAGTTAATAAAGTAACTGTTAGAGAATTATACCTTCAAAGCAGATAAAAGGAGGGATGAATCCAAATTAATGGTAGGGGTGAGTGTCTCATAGTTTTTCTTGTAAGTATATCAGAGAACTAAAAGTATAATAGAAAAAAATAGAAGTACTTAAATTGTGTTTTGAGTGTAAGTGGTACCATGTTATTTATGGTGATTAAGTTAGACATCTAAATTTCAAACACAATAGAAGAAAGCAAAGAGATTTGAGAACTACAGGACTTCTGAACTCGATAGTCTTCTTTTAGGACTTTGAAAAACCTAGAAAATTATAAATGCTTTATATGTTCAAGAAACTTGCACTGAATTTAAATGTTTCTTTTTTGTCTTTCAGTTAGCAATTGACTATGGGATTAAATTCTTGGAGACAAGTGCAAAATCCAGTACAAATGTAGAAGAGGTAAGAAAGAACTGTTTGGTGACTTGTTACATAGTAGCACTAGTGCTTAGGTTTCTGTGTTCAAGCAATTTCAAAGCCTTGATTCTTTCTGACTTACTGAGTGCCTTATGTGAGCTCCACCCCCATTATGTGAACCTCTGTGCTTCTGACTTTTATGTGGACCCTGGTTGTTGAATTTCTAGCACCTAGCCTCCACATAGGGTATATAGCTCGGTCAAGATACAAGTTTAGTTTAAGTTTAGTTTTGCCCTTTGTTTGGGAAACTAGAAATCCTGCACCAGCCGACCAAGCACAGTGTCCTCTGCCCATTTATCATCGTTTATCATCTTTATGTCATCCTGTAGGAGCCCGTAGCAAAAGACTCTTAATTACTTTCATGTCTGTCCTTTCTCAAGAGAGAATTAAACTGTTAGCTTATTGAACAGATTCCCTTAGTATACACGTTTGATGTCGATTAGCATGATACACTGTAATCCAGTGGCATTTAGTAGAAATAAGAAAGTGTGTTTATCAGAGAGTAGTTTAATAACTTTCCAGTAAGTTAACTGTTAAAGAAAACCAAATCATCTAAAGTCTTTTTTTTTATTAATTTATTTTTTATTATGAAATACACATTTTTTAGAATTAGTTTCAGCTGTACAACACATATCTAAAGTCTTTTAATAATAGATTTTCTTTACCAAGGGAAGAATTATTGATAATATTTTTTAGAAACATTTTAAAAACTGATCATAAAAGTAATGCATGTAATATGTGTTAATACATGTTACTCACTTAAAACAGTAATACTGATGGTTTCATAAACATTTAATTTCTTAGGCTACTCACTGTTCACCATATCATCATGGCTAAAAATTGAGTCTTAAATGACTTGACTGGCTAATGGACACTGATCAGAGCTTTTTATTTGTTTTAAATAACTAAGACTCATTTTTTCAGGTTGGCTAATGGGGGTTAAGAAACAGGAAGCCTCTACTGATTTATTTATACAGCATAGATAAGCAGAAAAATGCTTCCTTCTGCTTGCCACAAAAGGATTCCCTTCCATCAGAAAGAGGGGAGCCTCTTAAGTCAGCTTTAATGGTGGGAGCCTCTTAAGTCAGCTTTAAGAGCAGCTTTAAAGCTTGCTCACTGAGATGGCCCACATAGGATGGCTCCCGCATAATGAACTTGGTAACCTGGCTTAATGGAGAGAAGGCTTAGGTCTCTGTTAGTACCTGTACCCTGATCACACCTGTGGCTTAGAGATAACATTGAGTTATGGAACTAGAGAGCTGGGAGTTGTCTGAACTGCTTATTCTGGCCCAGCATTCTGCAGAACTTAGCCATTTTCTCAGAGCTTTAACTTAGTGTGGTTAGCCTCATAAACACGGGGATGGCTTATTTAGAAACTTAGACTCACAGGTGATCAGTGTGACAAGACACTGACAGTGAGTGAGAATAGCAGTTACTGTATTGTTTCTGTTTGATTTCACTGGAAATAACCCTTTTGCTGAACATTTTGGGGGCATCAGGCGTGGCTGAGAACAGAGACTAATATAACGGTGGGTTTAGCATACAACTGAAGAAGCTTTAAGAGTCTTGGCTCTATGGAAACACGGTAGGGATGATAATTTTAAAAAATATTTGGTTTGGGTTAAGAGACACTAGGCATAAAATGTCACTGAGATTAATCAGGTTTGTCCTGCTTGCATTTGACCTGATTTCCATTGTGGGGGATTTAGCTGAGCTGTAGGAACCGTTGGGATTTTGGAATATTAAGACATGGAAGATTATATATTCTCAGGTATAATAGTGAAAGCAATTTGAAAGAGAGGACATTGGAAATAAAAGGCAGAGATATTTGTATAAACAGGTTTTTGAGCTATAGGGTAATGCATATTTATTCATTCACTTATTAAACAGACATTCAGCATCTCCTAGACTAGGCACTGTGTCCCCCTTTGGGGATGCAGGGGTGGCTCAGACAGAGCCTCTGCCCCCCGGGTGCTCTTGGTGTACTGAGGAAGCCACCCATAACTCAACAAGTGTCATATCAGGAACCTGTGCCAGAGAGTATGTGCAGAAAATACTTGATGGATGAATGAATGGCAGTTTGATAACATTGGAAATGTTTATGATATAAATGAAAAACAAGATACAATATTCATGTGTATACTATAATTACAGTTATGTTCTTTTCTTAATTAAAAGCTTTAATATATTTATATTTTATAATATAATGAAAACAATCTATATTTCTATTTTAAAATCTATTGTAAATATATAATAATGAAATTTTTGGTTTACCTTTAGGCATTTTTTACACTTGCACGAGATATAATGACAAAGCTTAACAGAAAAATGGTTTGTATCACTTATAATTTTTATTACCATTATGCTATTTTAAATTTGTTTTATTTATGCTGTTTATTTGATTACAAAGATAGGCCTGATTATGATATATTTACATTAACTCATTTTTTTTTCCCTGACTGACATATTCACCTGTTTCTTCAGATGTCTTATTTCTGAACAGCAGCTATTTCAGTTTTTTTATCTGGCTCTTTAAGTGGACCTTAATTAAATTTTGGTCTTAACAATTAAAACAATAATTACACAAATTAAATTTTTGTCATAAAATTATCTAGTTGAATTTTCATGTGACATGTTTATGTCTATATATAATTATGATCTTGAAGTTGTTACATTTGCCTAAATTTGAAACGAGTGCAGTGATGAATCATTAGGACAACCTTGAAAGTTTATTTTAACCTGAATTCTGAATACAGTTGCATACTTACGTTACCAACTCTTCTTACCTCTAACAAGAGGATTGCCCATTACAGTATCCATCATTACCCTTGAAACTGTATGCTCCCTTGGCTATAGTTTCTTTGAACTGGAAATAGGAGCTTCCTAACTAATATATTACTAATCTAAAAGATGCTACCCTAAAAACATTTTTCTCATTTTAATCCTCCATTTCCAAAGAAACCGACAACATCGGGGCTTAACTGGGTCCTTTTCTAATAAAATACTCTATTGAATCCACATCAATAGTATGGTTTGATATTTTTATTTTTTAGATAATTGGGGTCAAACCACGAGAGTTGTGTTTCCTTAGTAACTTTATCTTCTGTTTTTTAGAATGACAGCAATTCATCAGGGGCAGGTGGACCAGTGAAAATAACAGAAAACCGATCAAAGAAGACCAGTTTCTTCCGTTGTTCGCTACTTTGATGAACTTTTTCTGAGAGACTGCAGCACACTTAGAGGACCCTTTCCTGCTTCTCTGAAAGCACAGGTCACCCAGCCTCAGATTCACACCACCAGGCTGCTGCTGAGAGCACCACTGAACCTAGACCTCTTGACTCAGAATGCCACGTGGATTCCAGCCTCATGGCCTGTCAAGATAACAGGCTCCTTTTCTCAAACATGGAAGCAATGAAATGGAGACACATGCAAGACTTGTTTTTTCTTTGTTTATTTTTTGCCTGTTGCAGAAGCTGCTATCTTTCTTTTTCACTTTGCACATCAGTGTTAGCCTTTCCCTGTTATAGCACAATCTGAGACTCATATTTGCACACTTTTGTCTCATGGAGTTAGTTCTAGACAAATTTGTGCTTATGGGGATGTTTAAAAAAGTAAAACATTTAAAGCAGAGGTTAATAGATTAAAATTAAAGGACATTTGGTCTGTTTCATATGGCCAGATGTTATTGCTTTGACAGTATTTAAGGGGTCTGATTTGTGATTTTCTTAAATAAGAATCATTAAATTTTGATAACTTTATCTTAAAAATTCATAAAAATTTCCATCTATTCATCAGAGGCCACAATTTCTTTATTTCTTCAGTTTAGAGCTTTGCTTCATTCCTGACCTTTTTGCCAGAGCGTCTGAGTAGCTGAATAAATCACTCTCATTTGACTCCCTCGGCCTAATCTATAGAAACTGCATTTGGAAATCACCTTAATCTCACTTTTCCTGGGATTTGTAGTTGCTATTTTTTCCTGTGTGTGACCTATTATAATCACTCAGTTACCTAAAGCATAACATTTGAGCATTGTTGTCTGTTTCTAGTTGTAAACTTCTTCAGCTGAAATTTTACATAGGCAAGAGAGATGTACCATTTAGGGTTTTATTTCAGCATCTAATTGTGGTTCTGTCACATTAGCATACATAATGTATTTTCCCTTAGTTTCACTCCTTAGCCTGCTGGTTTAGTTGCAATACCCTCTTCCGACCATAATCCCTGTCTGCAAGAGCTAACAAGAGTTAGACTTAGATTTTAGTTCACAGAAAGTTTAACCTATAGGGAGAAAAATTAATTTGTTAATATAAATTTAGTATAGATAGCTCTTGGCGATCGTGAAAATAATGATTTTTGTTCTGTTTTTATTTGGGCTTTTTAAAAAAATATATAATTAGACCTAGTGCAGCGTCTAGGAAAAGTCTTGCCTTTTCATTATAGAAAATATGAGCAAGGCTTCAGTTTCAAAATAGCTGTTGTTGGATGTGTTGAACCCAGTTCCATCTGTTCAGGTTCATTGTTAGAGAACTTGGTCTAGTCATTTGGGCCAAAGCCAACCAAAAGCTTCGCTGCCTTTCTCACCAAACACTGGTACTGGCATACCTTTTGTAAATGAAACCATCACATGAAAAAAAGGGTATTTAGTGTTAACTTATGTGCCAAATTCAGATCGTTATGTCATTGCTGTTATTCTAGCCTTCAGTGTCATAACACAAAAGGGAGTGATATGGAGGTGATTAGGGAAATGAATTCTGTTAATAATTATTCTTCTTCTTAGGCCTGTTTTATTTCACAGAGGTTACCATCATGCTTGATAGTTAAAAATGGGAAATGAAAGTGGAAATGGATTGTTTGTTACCACAGAGAATTCTGCTTCAAATTAAGATGTATCATTAGAATGCTTGGACCAATCAACCTTGACTACTTTTTGAAAACTTATGCACAATTTAGCTGCAGCCAATATACCAGAGCTTTTTTTGATGGGTACACTAAACTTATTATTGACAAATTTCGGCCGCCTTGATTTTTGTGTGTGTGTGTGTGTGTGTGCTTACCTATAGACTCAAAGGCACCTGTTGGTGTCCCAGTATAATCACGCGATTCCTTGATTGAAAGTTGGTTGTAAGTCTACTGTCTTAAAATTAGGTACATTTTTTGAAAGAAAAAATAATTTCTTAGAAATATCTTGTATTCATTAATTTTCTGAAAAAAGATCCAAGCAGTTAAGCTTCTGGATGGTAACAAAATAGTTTCTAAAAGGCAAGTGCTATGACACCATGTATGAATGTAATTCTCTTAGTAATTTACCTCTGACTATTTGGTGTCTTAACACTTTGGTTTCTATCTCAGGGGTTGTCTGCAAACCAAAACTGACATATTCTGTGATTAGCTTTTTTTTTTTTTTTCTTTTTGCTTTTTTTAATAGAATGCTTTACTTTTGTTCTTTCTTCTTTTGTCTTATATGGATTAATAACTAGTCTCCATGAACTTCCCTTTGAAAGAGACTGTCAAAGTTAGATGAGTCTAAAAGTGCTCTTTGAAGTAGCAGCAAATTGGGGATATATGCTCTGTTATATAGAAATAAATCGTCCTTGCTATTTTCTTACATTTAGTCTTGCTAAATTGTATATAATTTGAGCTAAGACCATAGGAAATACACTTTCTGCATGGTAAAATGACTCAATAAATATTCCACTTTGCTTAATAATGTACATATAGTGCATTATTTTTTCTATTCGTAGATGAATTTAGTGACAGATAATTGTCTGTTCCCTGCTGAAACTGAAGAAATCTAGTTTTGTGTGAACATTTTTGTCGTCTTATGGATAAGGTACATGAAGACTTTTGCAGCAGTATTAGTGATTCAGTGGCTGCACTTTATTATCAGTGTGCTAATTTTTGCCAGTGATTGGACTAGACTTTTTCTAGTAGAGTCTGAGGGTATCAGACAATGGAAATGTGCTGTAACTAAGTAGCATGTAAATCAGTTGATTGTAAAATGTTTCGCTGGGAACTTATTTTAGCTATATTTTACTTCAGACAAATTATGAGAAAATAACCCACCTGTGCATCAGTTAGGAGGTGCTGCAGGGTTTCTTACTATTTACATGAACATTTTGTGCAGTCTTTGTTATAAATTTTCAAAAGACTATACTCTACTTTGAAGGACTATTTTTTAATTATACCTCATTTAGCTAACTAGTATTCTAATACCTGGTAGAAAAACAGTGAGCCAGCCTTGAAGCATCCAACACAATTTAAATTATATGTTTTGTTTTGAGCTAAAGGCATCATTGGGAAAGGTAGGAAGTAGTTTAGTTTAGAATAGAACATCCATGTCATATCCCATAGTGCAAACAAAAGTATTATCTCCCTGTCTCCATTAATAAATTTAGCTGTGCAATATAGGTAAATGTTTGCAGAAATTTCTAAATAAGAGACTATAACTCCATTTTACAGGTTCTAATGCTGAGAATCTGGATTAAGGCTTATATATAAAGGTTTTCCTGTGAACAGTAAGTGATACATTTCAGCAGACTTTCTTTTCTAGTTCATGACTTAGAATTCTTTATAATTTAGTTCTTAATCTTTAAAGATGAGCTTATAAGCTTAAATTTTAAAACAGCACTTCATTATGTTGGTTTACATATCTCACATTTTATGCAGTCATTTCTGCCGTTGGTTTTTTTAGAGTTTTTCTTTTAACAGAAAGGATATTCCTTTTTCCTTCTTGTTATAGCTAAAGAAGTGGGGGCGGGGAAGGAATGTCTAAAAATGAAATGCCTCATCCTAGAGGGACCTGGAGAGACAGGAGAATCTGTCCTTTTTTCAGACTAATAAAATCAATGGGTGCCATATTTACTCTGAAAACATCTAAATGACTGAAATTTATAGAAATGAAAATTAGCAAGCAATTATTTTAGGGATATTTTCAAGTTTTACTTCATTTTTTTGAAATGCTTGTGCCATATGCAATTGCATTTCTTATTGCCAAGAACTAACAGGACCTCTTGATTCATTTTCTTATCATTTTTTTTTAAATGTGAATTTAATTATTGGAATTCATTCCTATGGCCTTACAAATGGGTTTTATTTTGTTTGCAGCTGACACTGCAGTTCCTTTAATGGAAAATACCATAAACTATTTGACTAAAATCATGCCCCTAATGGGAAATACCTAGTTTTTCTATAGAATTATCCTGTGTATGTTTCAGCATATTTTATTTTTATTCCAGTGGCTTAATGTGAAAATCTCCTGCAGATAAAGTGGACCTGTCATGTGGTTAATCTTGTTTAAGCCAATTCATTAACTGTGTACTGATACTAATGCTGTGGTTATTTTTTTTTTAATGGATTTTATTCCAGGTGAACTTTTTTTTACAATAATGTTCGTCTAAAATAAAAACTACATAATGAAAATACTCATGGCTCTTTAGAATGGATTGCATATTTTAAAAACCTCTTCAGTTTTTCAAGGTGTGTGATTCAAACTATGATAGACTTGGGATATTTTAGCAAACTTTGTCTCTGACTTAGAGTTGTTTAAAGACTTAGAAAAATGGCCAGCTCTCCTGCTTGTACCTAGTTGAGAATACAATGAGGTCTGTTATAGAACTGCAGCCCTAAATTGATCACCTTCCCTTCGTAATCCTTACAAGTTTCGTTTCTGTTGTTTTGTTTTCACTTCCAAATGACACAGTTCGAGGGCCCCCACCCTGCGGATGTCCTACCACTGCGCTTGTGCGTGTTTCCAGCCGTGGGCTTTCCTGTTCACCCACACAACCATTTCGAGCCTTCCCTGTTCTTCTCAAGCTTCCTACTTCTTTCCTTTCACTCTTGGTAGACAGACCTGCGGTCTCCTGTGTCACAGAGAAGAGCATCTGTCTAAAATCACCTTAGCTGCCTCCTCCCACCCCTATCCCCGGCCTGTAGCCTCCATAGGCTGGCTTCACTGCGCCTACCTCATCCTCACCTCCTTCCTCTGCAGCAGAGGCATTCCTCCTAGTCCATGCTTATTCTCTCTGCCTCTCCCCTGGTCATCCTCCCCCTCTATCCTGTTTCTTAGGGAACTCCCAGCTCTTTCTCTTATACCTTCAAACTCTTCTGTGTGATTCTTTTCCCCTCAGCATGGAAGCGTCCTTTACCCTCTCAGCCTTTCGCTTCATGTCCCTCTCACTTCCTGCTCTTTTTCCTCTTGTCATAGCTAAGCTTCTTCAGAGTTGCTTATAAACACCGTCTTCACTTGCTCAATTTCCATTTATTCCTCAACCTATTCCAGTTTAGCTTCCTCCCTGTAGCTTCACTGACATCCCACTTACCACGGCCTAGTTGCTAAAGTAGCGGACATTTTACTGTCCTTATCTTGGTTAACTTCTTAGCAGCATTTGATCAGTATATCTCTCCCTCCCAGAAATGTTCTCTTCCCTTAGCTTCAGTGACAATATTCCCCACTTTTACAAAATAATTTCATCCTCTTTTCATGGCTCTTAAATGCTTGTAACGACTGTAGTCAGCTGAATAATGGCCCCCAAGAATGTCCGTGTTCTGTCCCTGGAAGCTGTGAATGCTACTTTATGTAGCAAAGGGCACTTTGCAGGTGTGATCATGTGAAAGATCTTGAGATGGGAGATTATCCTGTGTTATCCAGGAGAACCCTATGTAATCCCATGGATCTTTAGGAGATGGACACACAGGAAGGAGTTGGCAATTAGAAGGAAACAATGTGATGATGGAAACAGCTGGAGAAAGGTGTGATGCAGAGCTATGAGCCAGCAATGTAGGTAGCCTCTAGGACCTGAAAAAGTGAAGGAAGAGATTTTCCGCCACAGCCTCCAGAAGGAACCAGCCCAGCCCTGACACCTTGATTTTAGCCTGGTACAACTCATTTCATAATTCTAAATGCCAGCACTATAAGAGAATAAATTTGCATTGCTTTAAGCCACTAAATTGGTGGTAATTTGATACAGCAACAATAGGACTCTAATACAGCTTTCAAATTTGTATCTCTAGCCCCATCTCTTTCCAGAGGGCCAGATTTCAAAGTTGATCTGCCTACTGGACATCTCCCCTTGGATCTGCTACAGAGGTACATCAAACAACATGTCTAAAACTCAAGACTCAACTCTTCCCCTGTCCTTCGTCCCCAGCAATTCCCACCAACAGCTCTCAATACCAGGAGGAGAAATGTTCTCTTTTCCCCATCACAGTAGATAGCATCATCACCTACCTAGATCCCCAAACAGTTAACCTCCAACTCTCGTGAGTCTTAACTCCTAAATCTATCCACTAATGCATTATTTTGGCCTCTGTATTTGTTCAGGCCTCTTCATCTTTTGCCTAGATTTCTGCAACCTCTCCTACCTAGTCTTCTAAGTGTCTAATCTTATTCTGCTCCAATCCAGTTTGCCCAGTGCTGACAGGTTTTTAAAACGAATCTTTTGTCACTGCCAAATTTTATCCTTAAGTTGTACCTCATAACCTTGGGATAAAACCTAAACTCTTTTAGCCTGGCAAATAAACTCTTCCATCCCCACATCTTTCTCTCCAGCCTTAGATCTTGTCACGCCTTAACTCATACCCATATTTTAAACCTCACCAGCAATTGCTGTTTCCTGAATACATCATGCTTTGTCATTCCTTTGCTTATGCTGCTACTGCTGACTTCCTACACTTTTACTGCCTAACTTCTCCTTATCTTTCAAGACTCAGTAAGGGTTTTTCTGGAAAGACTTCAGTCACAACGCATCCCTGGTTAGCCCCTCCTGTGTGTGCCCAAAGTGTCACTTACTGCACTGGATTAAAGTGGTCTGTTTGCTTCCCTTCCCTACTAGACTCTTAAGTTCCTGCAGGGTGGGGACTGTGTCTTTTTTTTTTTTTTTTTTTTTT